TACACGTATACTCGCCAAACTGGACTTCTGAATTCTCTGATGGGAATTTTCGTAACTCTAATTGCAGATCAACGTTCTGTTGCTTCTATCTATGGTAGTCAACAAAACAGAAAGGTGAAGAATGAAAATATCGCACGCTAGAGGTTGAATTTGTCGCCATTCAGATCCGGCAGACCTGGTAAGGAAAATCGTGCAGTTGATACGCTTCCTCGTGTTGTTGTGGGGCGTTGCTAGCGAATGTCAAGATGAAGGAACTGTGTTCCTGTTCCATCCTGAGGTCTCTTAGCTATCACACTTTGTTCGAGCCAAAAGTTTCCCTCTTCAATAGAAAATATGCATAATGTTATCACGCGGTGCTCAACATACTCTGAAGTCAAATCCTGTTTCTTCTCTAAAGCACAATACCAACTCATCAAAGCCATCCAACTAATGGAACGTCTGTCAATCGACTTCAGAGATCCACTCCCGTCTCTGACCCGCAATCGCTATCTGCTAACGATTGTTGATGAATATTCACGTCTTCCATTCGGGAGCGCCAGTTCCGATTAATCTACTGAAAACATTGTTAGATGTTAATGCCAATTCTTTTCCATCTTCGGCGCTTTTTCGTACATCCACACCGATCAAGGATCGTTATTTATGTCAAACGATGCCCAAAAATACCTCCATGATAGAGGGTGGCAACGAACGAGTTGAACCAAACTTCATAGAAGACCATTTTACTTGCTTTGAAATCGGCCTGTCACGCAGCGGGAATCCGTTCTCCTGAACGCTTTACACTCTATTAGGTCACTTCTGTGTACCGCCGGTAACGCGACCATATGAAAGAATTGAGGCTAATAAAATAATGATTCCAGTGTTCGAAAATCCTTCTTCTTCTCAGAATATACATGAAAGAAGGTTTATCTATAATCGGTGGTCAACCCCTGGAACCACTCTCTATGTGGCTCGATTCTCTTGGCCGAGTCCTGTTGAATAAGAGTAGCCAGCAGTCTAAATATGAACATCAGTTCTACTGACAACCAGGATGTAACAACACCTGATAGTACCTTTTGCTAAGAAGACACCTATAAGCATAACCTGGAGACGTTGATAAAACAACAACGCATTCCTCCATACCGCCTTCGCACTAGAGATGCTTAGAATTTGTCCCATGCAAACCTTCAACTATATTTATTAACGTCATGCCCTTTTGTTGTTGGTCGCGAAAAATGTCATGCTAACTCCCTACTCTGACCATTTTCGATCTCTGTACCACTGTGCTTTTCCTTTTAAGTCCAACAAACCAATCGTGAGATGAATAAAATTCATTTCTAGGGTACTCACAAATTCTGCGTCCCCGTCTTTTTGGCTTATACTAACTCAATCGAGCGATTTTGTCTCTTCCGAGTACTACGTGGCAATTCTCACTTCTGTGAGATCTAAATTGCTTTTATTGAGTCCTGGAATTCAGGGGCAAGAAACCTGGTTATTTATGGTACCCATAGACAGCTTGTTAAGCCTTGACTTCCGATGCAGTCATTTCGGTGTAGTCTTGGCTTTTCATTGTCACTTCAATTCGGTTGTCAGGAGAAGAGTGCAGCAATGTAGGTATAGCACAGACTCTTTCAACTACAGACAACTTCACACGCAAGTCAAGGCTTTCCCGGCCAGGCTATACAGTGACCCACATCGCCGTCTGTGAAGCTCAAACTATAAGTGAAACCCCTCGACCATCACAAAAACCTTAGTTTCCCGGCGAAAATTCTTTGTGGGAAGGCAAATATGATACAGAGAAAATAGATTCGCCATCCTCATTCGACAAGGTAGAAACTTCCTGCATTGACGCAGTCAAAACGCAACCGAAGGCAGTCGTCTGTAAAACAAATACACGAGCCTTAACACTCGTAGTGAGGTAGGTAGGAAATTACGGGCGATGCGAAACCCTTGGAGCTACCTTTGAGTGCCCAAAATAGGAAGCGGC